AATCGATCTCGAATTGTGTATAAGATACGACCTCCCGAAAGATGTCAGTCGATATGTGAAAAATATATTTCTTGATTAAATTAATAAATTAAAATTTAAGAAATTAATAATAAAATAAAAATTAATTTTATAAACTGAAATTTAAAATATTAGATATTAATTAAAATTTAAAGAAAAATAAAAATTATAGTCAATAATTTTATAAACTATAAATTAAAAATATTTCCGTAACATTCTTTGCAGTGTGTGTGGAGATGGGTATAGTATCGGTATTGTTAAATTGATTATATCAATTTAATTATGTGATTGTACATTTCAGTTTCAGACTGCGTTTCAACATTGAAAGTACGGCGCGTGTAATTGACGAAGCGAAAGAATATACTTTTAAAATTCACACGAAAAATTGTTACTATATAGGTGAACAAAATTCAGCCTGACCGTATTTGGCAGTTTAATTTGATGAAAATATTCAGGAAAATTATATAAAAGTTTATTTTTGAAATTTTAATTAATATACAAACATGAAACTTTCCTACACGACGGTATAAATAATAAATATAATTAATTGAATAAGTTTATTAAAGAAGCATCGCGAATTAAAATATTTATCCTTTATTTGTTTTTAAAAGAAATTTCTCATGTCATTTATGATTAAAAATATATAATTGATGCATGATTATTAACGCCGAGATTAACACAGAATCCTATTGCGTCAAGAAGTTGCAACTATAATACATATACCATTCAGAATTTATGAATTATTTTTTAATTATGTATTTGAAGTTAAGGGTTTTTTTTAAATATTAATCGCAATATTAATCGGATGGCAAAGTTAATTAAAAATAGCGAATATTAAAAATAAAAATGATACAATTTTTACTTTTGACATCCGGCCGCTATATGGCTCCGACATTTTTAATTTATCAACTGAATTTAACATCAGATTAATATTTAGCAACCTAAAAAACTCTTAAATTTGAATAACAAAAAATTTCATAGTTTCTTAATTAATCGTCTATGCGTAAGTCGCAACTTTGATGCAATAGACTCTATGTTAATCATCAATATCTTTTTAACTACAATTGACATAACAAATTTCTTTTAAGGGCTGAAAGTCCTAACAATTAATTAACATACTTAATTTTGATTGCAAAATATAACTTAATTAATTGTCTAACACGTCACGCGGAGTTCTCGGCTTAGGGATCAGTGCTCTGATTCTACAACTATTAACAACAATTTGTTATCATTATATTGTCGTTGCGCAGTTTTTTTATCATATATATATTATATCTGCACAGCGATAATATAACAATGATAACGAAACTGTAGTTATAAGAGTTACAGCGACTTCGTCCGAAAATGACCTGTTTTATCAAGAACGTAGTTACTGCATTGGCCGCTACACGGTATGGCGCTGAAACCAGTGAGAAATGCTGGTCTCGTCTCAACCCGGATCTTTGGCTCGCGCGGCTGCGTGGGTGTCATAACGACACTCCCTCTCGAGATAGCTTTTTGAATAGACCTGTAGCTTTACATGAATATATATTAGGACTGAAGCACCTCTATTGAGGTGTGCGTGTGATACGACCTTAATATAAGTATCCAACACATAATTTGTGATTCAACCCATGTAAACAGACCATATGGGTTTCTCCCATGGTCATATTTCTTATATTTCAATAAAAAAAAAAAAAAAAAAAAAAATATTTGGCTATCTGTCTATTAATCTGTGGTACAAGGGGCTTTATATAGGGACTCTAGAGTACACGGCTGTTTGCTGCTGTGTGCGCGCGCCGTGCCAGATGGGGGGGGGGGGGGTCCCAACGTCCACAAAATAACAGTACTGTGTCGACCTACACAGAATTCACACAGAAATAGTATGCAATAGTATGTGCTCACCACGTGTTCCAACATTTATTTTCGTTCATGATTTTTTTCATTCTATACGGAAAAAATCAAAACTGGCTTTGTTGATAAACAGTAAGTAGTATGAAAATCGATAGAAATTAGTTTTACTGATTAATTTTTTGATTCAGTTCCGAATTATTTTCGGTAGATATAATTAATTTTTTTTATTCACTGCATGTGTATATGATCTTTTGTGCAATTTATCGTTAGATCACTATATCAAACAATGAGATAAAAGATACCTTATATAAAAAAAAATACATTTTGAAAAGTTTTAGTCATCTAAATGCGTAAGCTTAAGTGTAGCAAATTCAAATTTTGCAATTTTTTTTGGTGCACGTGAACGTGTGTATGCCGTATGTTCTTCTACCGTGTGAAACACAGTACCACGTGGTGGAACATGTTATAACGTGTATCGGAAAATGAGATAAAAGATACATTGAGTAAAATAAAAAATACATTTCGGAAAATCTTAAACCCATTGTTATTTGTACAATAACTGATGTAAGAGTATGTACATATGCGGTAAGAGCATTACTAGCAAGCAGTAAAAGTTGACCAAATACAATCGATTATTCTTGAATTGTACAAATCTTATTAGTCAGTAACTTACTGCTTACGCATCTACTCTTACGACTAGTGTAGAATGAAACTTTATAGTCATTTAGAAACTAAGCGTATAAGTCTGGCGAATGTGAGTGATCTAAATTGTGTAATTATTTTGTTCTTTCTTTTGTGCTCGTGCACGTGTGTGCCACGTGGTAGTAGAACACAGAGCTCTCGATAGTTCAGATTTATAAAAGAACATTTTTCTACATTAACAAAATTAAAAAATAACTGTTATTTTCTTTAAAATAATTAATTATTTAATAATGATATTCAACACACACATGCAGACTATGTAATGATGTACTTAGCAATGCGAATGAAAGCAAGATAAACTTATTGTTAGATTATACATATAATCTTAACGCTAAAATTATAAATATGTATGATATTATAATGCATTTTAGCATATGATAAAAAAGAAAGGATTATTATTTTTTATATTTTTTGTCTTCTTTTAGACAAAATAATATGACAACCCACAATAAATCTTCATATTGCGAGAGTTGTAGTCGATATCCCTATGTCGGCAGAGTACCCGTAGGAAAAGAGGATAGTGTTGACTTCATCTATCAATTTGTGAAGAAAATATTTGTTGCCGTGGAGCATGGAAGTCTTAGCATATTCCATACTGCCCCTGATATAATTGGGCCACCCAAATTTCAAAATTACGGACAACTTTATTTACCAATCTCGGTAAGACTTCCGAATAGCCCCTATCTCCAAATTTAATGAAACTTGCAGCAATTGTATAGCATTAAAAGACACACCCACACTATAAAGGATTTTGTGGACGGAAACAAATAGGAACGGAGAAATTAAAAAAATACAAATGGTAAATTGAGCGGCAAAGAGAAACCAAAACCTAGACCAAGTTTAGCACGTAAAGCCCGTATCAGATTAGCTGCTCGAAAATCGGACATTTCTCATTGGTCAAGAGACGTAATCGCAATCACAGTCGCGGCCGCGAGCCGCTTATTTAGGCCCTCTGATGATGTTTCAAATTTGCATACTTCTTGCATGCGCATGTGCTTACAGAGAAATTGGTGTAAGGTAGGACCTATTAACCTACACCACTTAAATTTCATCAAAATTTAACCACTAAAATTGTCTATAAATTAGAATAAAAATTTTGAATTTTCGACGCCAATTTCTCCGTTCCTATTTGTTTCCGTACAAAATTGTTTATGGTATGAACGTGTCCTCTAATAGTCAACAATTGCTGCAAGTTTCATCAAATTCGGAGGTAGAGGCTATTCAGAAGTTGAGTCAATCGCTATATATTATGTTACAAGATTTTCTACTATTTGACAATTTTGATTTTCTAATATAGGGGATAAAGAATGGTGTTTCAATATCTCCGTGGCAAAACGAAGCTGTCAGGAGACCCATATCATACGATTATGATGCGACAAAAAGATATATTGGTATGTAATATATTTAAATCGATAAATAAGATATTGTTAAGAAATAAGATACACTTTTGCTGAGAAGAGAGTAAATATAATAATATTTTCTATTTAAAGATATCGAGTTTCATGAAGCTGTATATCCAATCAGAGTCTGTATTTACGAAATATTTAATCCTGGAAGCGTAATTCAAATTTTGGCTCAAAATTCCAATAATCACTGGATTCAGTTGTGGGATGAATCGTCTCAGATTGTACCTCCAAAATCAAGATTATTTTCTCCACCGTTGTCGCATCCGCGCAATGTTAACTTCAAAACCAAAATGCTCAGACTAGTGTTTAAGGGCAGTTCAGATAAAACTTATACAAAACTGGATGCTGTGATGCTTATCGGTACATCAGATTTTATTCTTCCTAGAAATCCTAACGAGAGTTTAAGTAATCTGTTGAAAAGAATTAACAACATCTACTCTTCACACCACGACGATGTTCATAATTTAACAGCAGATTCAAAAAGTGCACACTTGGATATAGTTCATCTGCAACAAAATTTTCCTGAATATTGTGTTAATAAAAGGTATTATTATCATTGACATTAAATAATATTTTAATCCATTTTTTCTGTTAATAATAAAAATTATTTTAAAAATTAAGGGAATGCTGGATGGGGATCATGCTTCGGAGTGACGGCCGAACTTTCTCGATGTCGATAATGTCAACATTTTTAATTTTGTTTTTCCTGTATCTGTCTTTGTCTAACGAAATGACATCTGTCCTTGTTCGATACCTATGCCATCTCGCCTTACTAACCTGCGTGTATATTTTCATGATTTTTGTCAGTAATTGTCCCCTGTCCAGGATTCCCTTAATTTGTTCCGATAATATTTGCAGCGACATAAGAAGGACTTCTTATAAGAATAATTTGAAGCACAAAAGAGTATCTCAGAAGTAATCCCTGGTTATGAGCAACCTCTTGATCAGAGATATCCACGTCGTATTTTCTTGAAAAGTAATTCGAATTGTGCCAAGAGAGTGAAACTCTCATTGGATGAATCCAAGGAGCTATCACTTTGCAGTTTATCTGCGCTTCCTGTAAAGTATTCTAAGAAGTCTATTTCTCATCACAATATTTATTACAATAATAACATTTCGTACTTTGAGTATTAAAGTATTTATTTTGTATTATATTAATTATATTTTTTCTTTACAGAATGAAATACTACTAAAAATATTTAAATACTTAAATGTGGTAACATTATGCCGCATGAATGAAGTAAATAATTGGCGCTTTGATATTTTAACACGGGATCCTCTACTCTATACACGTTTGAATATGCGTTATATTAGCTCTGACAAATATATGTGTGATATATTTTGTTATTTTACACTTAGATGTAAATATTTGCAACAATTAGATCTTACAGGATGCAATTTTGATGTTAATGATTTCGTAAACTTTCTTGATAATTGCGGCAGGCGTTTAACGCATTTAAGATTAAGTGACTGCAACGATGGAGAATGTTTAAATCCTGTCCTACTTAAAACTTCAGAGACATGCAAAAATTTGAAAGGTATATGCTTATAGTATATGTATATAATTGTCAAGATTATTGGTAAATTGTATAACAATTTGTAATACAAATTTTTCTTAGAATTGGTTCTAAGTGATTCTGGCATAGATGACGAAGGATTTTCGTATCTCGAGGGGCTAAATAATTTGGAACACTTAAACCTTTATTATACTGGTATAACAACCGAACGTCTTTGCAAAATACTGCAAAATAATCAACGAATTCGTCAGTTATCGGCAAGCTTTAAAGACGCACGTCGTCTTACATCTGAGGGTATTAATGCTCTCGCTAACTGTAAGAATTTACAAAAAGTGGAATTTGATCTGTAAGTGTGTGCTATATTTTCTTTTAAAACACACATTATTGTATTCTTTATTGAAATTTGTTTGCTTCTTTTGCGAGCATCTTGAAAAAGTTACATGAATTTTTTCTTTGCAATTAATTAAAGTACTGTACTAATTACATCATTTTTGTTACAGATACGGATACCCAGCTGATAATGAGAGCTTATTTAGATTACTTTCCTCTTATCAAAACTTGCAAGAAGTTCTTTTGTTCGGTGGTGTCCTCACTGATCACCAGTTGGAATTACTAGCGCAGTGCAAAAACTTAAAAAAGTTACAACTTTTTAACGTGGAACTTGATATACCTGATAATTGTTCCGTTATTTTGAAACAATGTCCTAAACTGCAGGAGATTTCTTTCATTTTCTGTAATATAAATCAATTGGTTCATCAATTTGTTAATCAATGGAAGGAAAGATATCCGCACGTGTCCGTTTATACATTTTGCAAATAATTGAAATAGTTTTTGTTTGATAGTTTAGGACAAATCAATTTACTTTTTATGTTTACTTACAAATTTACTTTGTAAAAATTATCTGATAAATTAGGTTTAAACGTTAATGTTTAATAAAAACGAAATATTCACATTTATTTATAGTTTTGTTATTTTCGAACTGTTTTATCTTTCTTTTCTTTTTCATAATTTGAATATTTTGGGCAATGGTGTCATTTCTTTGTTTGAAATAATTGTTCAGCAAAATACTAGAAAAACTTACAATAACATCGTTAGTAAATTTTTGATATTAAAATACAAATGTTGAAATTATTAAAATTTAAGATTTACAATTTTTTTTAAATAATAGTATGGTAATTCTACATACGTTAATAACTTTTTAACGAATAACGAACGACGGATAAAACCTTCTGAAGGTCACTCGGGGTCATGATCTTGACAACATATATCAAAGTCATTGAAATCGGTGAGGTCGCCCTTAATCTAGACATTTATCAAAAATAAAGTAAAAATAGGTTAAAAAAAATAGGTAGGGTGCATATTTTTCGGGCTCCCCCGATTGATTATCACTGTCGGAGTTACAACAAAGGTTTTTACCAAGAAAACCGCAAGAAATAAATACTCGGAAAAGGCCCTATTCTGTAGAATTACCAAAAGTACAATAAATACACAAATATATTTTACCAAAAAGATCTATTTAGTGATTATAATAATTATTTTAAACACTGCACAGATATTATGCATTTAGGCACCCTCGTCAATCTCGAGTAGTTGCCTTACTGTTATCTGTCAGTCTTGTGTTTGTGATTCGCATTTGTAAGCGGGGAGCACACACTTCTGCACAATGCATATTGCGTAAGCATAAGAAAATTGATTGGTCCATACACATGTGCATAAGGAAATAGACGAATTAGTTTTCTTATGTTTACGTATTATGCGTTATGCAAAAGTCTGTGTTCCCCGCTATACGTGGACGTAAAAGTAATGCACAAGCTTTGGCGTATCCTGATTTGTCAGATCGAGGACTACGACTGTCGTATATTGCTACTGTCGCGAACATAAAACTAACTGAAATATACTTCGTAAATCATCTCTGTTTATGAAAATTCGTTTTATTTAATGCCGCGAGCACGGATATGTATGAGATCGTCGTCGTCAGGATCTGAAAACAACCGAAAAACATGGATTAGTATCCGGGTGATTTGAAGAATTTATTCGGAAGATGTCACGAGATGACGATGAGTACTTACCGTAGTGTAGAAAGGAAAAGACAAGGTAAAGAACCTTTCTGCGGTAAGTTTGCAAGGTATCGCCTTGCGCGTGCTACTATAATAGGCAGATTAGAATCCCGTGGGAAACGTTGCCACTCCAGATTATGCGCTATCGTTCCAATGTTTTCGCTCTTTGTCGGCCGCCACATAAAATCACGTTTTATTATTAAATAAAAAAATATAGAATTCTTATATTTCTTTGTGAGTTACCTTTTTAATAATGCACTCGCTAAGATAGCAATATATAAAAATGTGTAATACATCATCGTGAACATGTATAAGATGGTCGTAATAATATCGTTAACATTACTGTGTTGAACGTGCTGAAACAAAAAATGTTTTATTGATGTTCATTCTTTTCATATCATTTAATAATAGATACATATTATATACATTCGTAATAACACCTATCATATTTTGAATATTATACTTGTTTAATTAGAAAAAGAACCGGTAGAAAATGTCCATTACCAAAATAAGTTCGCGTCCATATAAAATTTGCATCACCCAATATGACAATAACTGTAAGAGAAGAAAGTCACGAAAGGACTTTTCTATAATACCCACATAGCTGAAATTAATAATTAATTACTGTCGTTGTCAAAGAAATCCGCATGATTCTTATGAGAAAAACGTCTTCGGTCACTACAACATATCACACAAATTCAAGCAAATTGACCAAAGACGTTTTTTTCATAAGAATCGTGCGAGATCTTTTGAATAAAATGTAGAAGAAGGCACTTTCTTTAATTCTAGGACTACGTACATAAACGATCAAAAATTTCAAGTCACATTCTCGGAAACATTCCAACATTTTTGAAAATTTCTTTTTATTTGAACAAAATTAAAATTGAACGGAATTAAAATTAGAACTACAGATTTAATCTTTAATTCTGCAGTCATATTTCACAATGCGTGTGGTATTCGCCCGGAGAAAAAATCTCCCGAAAAATGTGCATTTATTCTTTCTAAAGAAGTAGAATCTACTTATAAAAGTACGAAAGACACTCAGTTTGAAGTCTTGTAATCAGAATAATTCCGTGATAATCTCTAATTTGTTTCGATTTATCTTAGAATATGCACGTGTAGCTTGACGATGCACGAGAGGCAAGCACAGTTATGCTCGTTCTTCGTGTAACGGTGCCTGATGGAGCCATCATATTGCTTAAGGGTTGCGGCGAGTACGTCGAACTGTCCACACGCGTGGAACACGATGATGTACAGGAAGTAGTCCATGGTGGCAAATGCTGTGGCGCTAAAGAACATTGTAAACGACTGCACGACGTAGAGTATCTCGTACACGGGCGCGGAAGGGATAGATCCCTTCCTGAGGCAGGGTTCTAATCATTGCGTTCCAGACATCGTTATTATTGCGCCACATATTCACGACCGGTGTTAACATGAATCCTAAAAAGCACGTTCATGTTTAATTAAGTTTATCACGTAATAAAGAAATGGATTTGGTAATCAGTTTAGCGAAGATTGCATTTACTTCGAACTTGTAGCTGGATAGTACGAGAAACGTTTGACAAATCAGAATACATAAAATACAATATAATAAATCGTCTAAACTGAATTTTATAGTTTAGATGGTTTTTACGTTTATAGTAGGTACGTGTTACTTGATTGTCCAATTTCTTACCTATTATCGTCAGTATCAGAAGCACAGTGCTAAGTATGCTGAACCGCCTGCCTCTTTTAGCGTAATATAGATCATGATTTGTCTGCTCTGCTTCGCCAGGTAGCGATAGTTCGCCCAGTCGGCGGTTATCGTGTAGAGAATGAACCGGAAGTTCCTGGCCATCACATTCATGAAAACGAATTTCGCCAAGAGCGGAATTATTGGGACTGTATTGAGGATCTCGTGCATCACCGAGTTCCAATCCGTCACCGTGTAAAGCACGGTGTATGTTCGTACAATCGCAGGGAACGTGGTGAAGACGATCAGTATGAAGATCGAGCCGCACTGTAAATTGCAGAGAAACCACGTATCCTGTGGCCAGAAGCCTAGTAGCCGCATCCCATAACGAATTATCGCGATGGCACGATCAAAGCTTCCGATCTCTTCTACGTCGTTCGGTTCTGATGGTTTCGGACGAATGGTCCGGATCATCATCGATCTCCACCGTTACAATCGGCTTCGAGCAGTGATCTCGAATATGGTACTGGTTGCTTCAATCGTTGCCAAATAGTACTGGTGATCTCGAGTGCTTTTAATAACAATTGCGAATAGTATTATTAACAATTGAGATGATTGATAATTAATAAATAGACGCCGCTGGCGTAAAATGATACGATTTGGTTGAATGGAATTTTCAGTTAAGTGAAATATATTTATAAAAAACAACGCTAACGATTTTTAAAAATAATTTTAACCAACGTTGGATGATCTTTATAGCTTTAACATTCCTGCTAACGTACTGGCAATTTCGACTGATGTGTTATCAGTTTTATTCGTTCGTTTTCCTATTTGAGAATTCATATTGTTCATTGACCTATAAAATAATCAACTTGTAATAGGGCATCTTCTAATATATTAGCTAATTTTTCTAAATTGTTCAATAAATTGCCCGTCATATTTACCTGTCATTTATTTAATCGTTGTGTGTGCTAATTTAGGATTAATAATAACTTCATGAAATGTGCGAATATTACCGTGCGGATAATCTGTTGACAAGAATATCATGCACCATTAATTGCGGGGATGCGACTGGATGGATAATCAACTTCTACGATTATTCATTATTTCAATAAATATTTGCAAATACAAATTCAATTAATATTGATAGAATTGTTTGATTGATAGAATAGATGATAGTAATTTAGATAGAAAAAAATGGAAATATGTACACACACATATATATATATATATATATATATATATATATATAGCCGCGGCTGTGTTTGAATCGACCCTTAACCTTGTGCGACTGGCATGTTTTTTTGTTGATCTGCAATTTTTCTATGTTTAATAATACAGGAAAATTATTAGAGGATAGCTCATTTGCCGTTAGACATGTATAGTTATGGTTCAGATTCTTTGTCAAAAATATGTCAATGTTGGAAGGGCGTTTACGAGGCATTTTATGCGAATATGTTGAACTGTGCAAGAAACTTAAATTATTCTTATTTGAGTAATGGAGCAGCTTGATGCCTCTATTATCATTACCAAAGTTATTCCAGCTGCGGATGTTTGGCATTAAAGTCACCGCCGATTAAGATTTTATCATACGATAACTTTTTAAAAATTACGTCATATTTGTCAAAATAAAATCTAGTTTTAGGAGATATGTAGGTAACTCCGAGAATTAAATTCAAGCCCGATAACAGTTTTATCAACAAAATCTCATCCATCGATATCCGGGATATAGGAAGGGTATGATAACGCAAGGTCTTGCTTATGATAATTGCAAGGCCTCCTGCCTTGACTCGTGGTGCATTAGAACGTATGATATCAAAGCCAGAAAAGTTCAATTTGGTGTTAGGGTGCAACCACGTTTCGGTAATTAAAGCAATATCAATATTGTTTGTGCACATAAAGTGATTCAAGTCTAGATCTTTCTTATTTATGCTGGTGGCATTCTACAAGCAAATCCTCAGTGGAGAGATGGAGGGAGATATTTTTATTTAATAAGTTCAGCTGCGTCAACGAACGCTTGTAATCTACTAAGTCCGTCCGTACAATTTTCTAATTTTCTATTAAGCTCTCGAACAGCGTTAAACATTGACTTAATATTTACTAGCTGACTCAGCTTTTTGATTTCGAATATCAGACTGTTGAAATCTGTTAGGTCGCCAGAGAGCGCAAAGTCACTTAGATTGTTATTTTGTTCGCTGGAATTTTTCAAGGCTTCTGCGTATGTTTTTGGAGGAGAATAGTAGACACGTTTATTCGTTGGAGTAGCCGAGCTATCCGAAGGAAAATCATAACCGTTAGGATTTAAGTTTGAGGATTTGTTTCGTGCAGTAGAAATTTCGTTAGTTTTAGCCGGCAATTTTTTATTAATCTCAAGCAAGTCGTAAGCTAGACCCGAGGGGCGAGCAGCAATCGTCCGTTTTTCTAAGAATTTTAAGTATAACGGGCATTTCGTGAAACTCGTGGGATGCTCCCCTGAGCAGTTGCAACATTTTGCCGGAGTGTTTAAATCTTTTATACAATCGGACGTACGTAAGGTGGTTTTCCGCACATTTGACACATCTGGGTTTTTTGTAGCAATTAGTTGACGTGTGTCCAAACGCTTGGCATCGATAGCATTGTAGAACAGTTTTACGATTTATAAATTTGTCCCAATAGATTTTTGAGTGAAATAAATAACGAATCTTTTTTAATTGCATGAGAGAAAACTTAGCGCTCAAGCTTATCTTGTAAGTAGCATATATGCTATTTTCATCATTAATTTGAGTACATGAGTTAATCTTAATTCCAAGCTTCTCCAGTTCATTAGAGACTGTTAAGTTCGGAATGTTCGGCAGACCTTTCAATGTGACTGTTAATGACTTATCCTCAGGTAAAGAGTAAGTGTGAAAAGCGTACTGTTGGTTTATTGCAAATTTTTTGAAGCCGATGTAATCTTCAAGATTAAAGAACTGAATCTTAATTTGATTTCCAAGAAACTTGAGATAAAAATTTTCATATTATAAATAATTTCATGAAAAAAGCTAGCGAACAAAGCTGCTTGTTCTTAGTGCTTTATAATTATATCTTATAATCGACGAATAATATTTCAACAACTGCGAACCGATAAATGTCGGACTGAACCCAGCTATCGTTGGAACATTAAAACCCTTCTCTCCCCGGAATTAAATCGAACGATTTAATTCTCTAAAAACCGTAAAGAAATTATTGCGAAAAATATTTATTTATAATATGCGAACATGACAAACTAATTATTTATACAATTTACGCGGGCGACATATAGCGTCTTACATTTATTAACCTGTTATTGCGATAAATATTATCACATGCCTCGGTAGTCGAATTGGTACGACGCCCTACACGGAATGGAGGCAGTTCCAGGTTCGAATCCTGGCTGAGGTAATATTTTTCGCAATAATTTCTTTACGGTTTTTAGAGAATTAAATTGTTCGAATTAATTCCGGGGAGGAAAGGGTTTTAATGTTCCAACGATAGCTGGGTTCAGTCTGACATTTATCGGCTCGCAGTTGTTGAAATATTATTCGTCGATTGTAAAGCCCGGTGTCCACGATGCAAGAACTGTGTCCAAGTTTCGATTTAATCCAATCAACTTGCAGCTCTTACAGAAAAGTAGCAGTTTCATTGGCTTAAACCGAAACTTGGACACAGTTCTTGCATCGTGGACACTGCATGGGCTTAAGATATAATTATAAAGCACTAAGAACGAGCTTTGTTTGCTAGCCCTTTTCATGAAATTATTTATAAAAATTCTCTCTTATGCTTTGTTTGAGTTGATTTGAAAACTCCGCGTAGTTGCTTATTTTGGATGCAAAATATATTGGAGGTGGTTTTCTGTTCGACTTATGACTATATCCACTTTTGCTGTCGATGCCGCGTCGCAATTAATTGAATTATTATCTTTACTCACATGCTTTTTACTATTCTTTGGCTGAACAACAATATCCTCCTCATCTCTCTCAAGTACACTACCCGATTCAGCTAGGCATTGGAAGCGGTTAATAGAATTGAATTTACCTTGTGTATCTGTCTCGATGCGGGGGAGTTTATCAGAGCCAACTTTATCAGTAAGCTCTTCGTCTGCTTGTCGCTTAAGCGTCTGCTTCGTTGTTTTTGTCCTACCCTCCGATTTGGAGGAGATGCACTAGTGCAAGCGCCCAAATTCGCTATAAGTAATAGCACGCTGTGATACAACATACAACGCTCGTTATTCATGAATATTTCTTATTTTCGTGTATTTCGTGCCGCGACTCCTCGTTGTGCAAAGCATGCGTTAATTATAGTACATTCGCGAGTTTTACGTGCTCGATACCGTAATGTGCGTACGATATTTAATCTTAATTGTGGTTTTGTTTAATCAACTGTGTCTTTACTAACCGTCCACTTGATTTGCGTAATATCTCGCGTCAAGATCTTTGAACATTTCATCGCCATTAACGCGACTGCAGCGCAGTGATGAAACGCGGAACGAATCGGGGCAATCGCCGCGCGCCGTCGCGACTTCTTCAAATTTGCACGAAAAATCTATGTTACCTGCTTTTATATATATTACTGCAGAGTAAAGTACTTCCCATGGGTACGACCTTGGCGAGGTGGGAAGGCCCAGTACCCAGTAGGAGGATTTTACCCAAACAAAACTCTTGTTCTACTTGGATAAAAATCCAAAGACGGGGAAGCTATATAACGTACCCTCGTCCGCCGATTTAATTGAATGAACGAACCGCAGCCGGTTCGTCGCATTTGCTTCGGGAGTGCCATTCAAGTAATCGGATTAAAGGACTTTTTTGAACGGGAGTGGCGTACAGTATCGCGCGAGAAAGACTTTTACTGAAATTTAGTCCGCGCGCGATTGTACTTTATTATCCGCGAGTGCTTCTCGCGAGTGTCGTGTGCGGTGAGAGGAGGAAGCTTGACGTCCTGAGAGGAGGAGGAGGTCTGGGAGAGACATCGGACCCCGGCGGAGCAACCTTGAGGTGAATATTATCTGCATAATAATTCTTTTCCATTTATTTAGATGGTTTTATTTCGATAAGTTAAAAATAATTAGAAAAAGAGAAATTATCTAAAATTTTATTGTTGTAAAAGATTTTTTTCGGTAAATAGATAATTGTACGTATTGCTAAGTATTTTATTGAAAGACGAATTAGAGCAGGCGCGATAAGAATTATCTTTTGAAATATTGATTATTTATTTAAACGCTTCTTTAATTTGAATTTTATGTTTGTATGTTACACAGTATCATCGCAACTATACGTGAATAACTCCGCCTGTTGCGCATCGGGTTAATTGGTGAGTCAAAAAAATTTTTTTTTTACTGAGGTAACGAATCTACGATTATAATCAAATATAGAGCAAATATATCTCAGTGCATGTCCAATTATGACAATAAATTATATAGTATAAATTTATTATATCTCGTAGATACGTTGCTTTAAAATGGATGGGCTAAAACTATATAATTATGGCAAATATTTAATCTTGGTCACTTGTTTATTGATGTATTGTGCGATTGTGCTTGAGGAAATACTCGCACACTTCGCACACATAGAGCTCGCAAAGAGCTCATTATCGTTGAATTATGTTGACAAACCTTCGCGTTTTATATAAATAATTTTTTAATAAAATTTTAAGTCCTAAATAAAATATTATATCGAATCAGAATTTTATTTCGCGAATTTAAGTTAGTAAATTACACAGTAAGTTAAATTTTCGAAATTTTTTTACGTAGATCAATTCTACTTACAATTAGAGTAATAAATTTTTGAAAAACACAAAGAAATAAGAAGTAAAGTAATACTATCCCAATTAAAGTAATGATTTTGAAAATGTAAAGTTTATATTTAGATCTTTTATAAAATTGTTTTTGTATTATTTTTTTTTAAACAAAAGAGAAAAGTGTAAGAGATTGTATAAAAATAAAATAAATAAATAAAAATTTCTGTAGATAGGGAAAAATTATGGATTAGTTAGAATATGTGTTATCTATACCCTTATCTATTCCTTTCCATATACTTAGCCAAAATTAAATATTATAAAAATCGATCCAAGGAAGCAATATATAGACATATGTATGTAAAAAGGATAAGAAATATTTTGGTTTTATTATTCAATTTATTTTATAGAAAACGCGATATAATAGTTATATTAGTTATTAATTACTAAAATTTATTTTAACAAAGCACCGATTTTACCCTAATTTTTTGTAACCTATCCATCTATTTTTAATTGAGAAATTGTTTTTATACCAAAGTCAAGTAATATATGACGTGAGATTCTAAATATTCTGTCGAGTAACGCTGAAATTTTTTAAATTATTTTAGAGTTGATACAATATAATACAATTATATATTCAATTTTGCAGTAATATATATGAATACATCAAACATAATTTTGGTAGAAAATAAAAAATATATATGACAAAATATATTTATATCGATATAAAAGTTTATAAAGATTTGCATATATTATTTAATTATAACAACGCGATTATTCATTAATTATAATACCAATTGTGCGGGAAGTTTCTTTTTTTGGATTTCACGTCATTTTATTTTGTATATCTTATTTGACACATTTTCAAGATGCGTACCGCATGAACAACATGCACAATTACGCATCTTCATATTTTCGCGGTCGGTTTTTATATTAAAAAATTTTTTGTCATTAATTTTTTAGTTTCATCCACATTATAAATTTTAATTTTTCGCGGGAAGTAATTGAGATTAATATTCATATAATACAAAGTACACATATAAAAATAATCATTCTACAGCCAAGGAAAGCACTTACTTATTTTATTTTATTTATTTTAAGTAAGTTTTCTTACGATAAAAAATTTTTTTACCAATAGTTTTCAAATATCTTGACACAAGTCTTTGAAAATCAGAATATTGTTTTGAGTAAATGTAATGCTTATAATGACTTTGCGAATTAAGTATTTGAAGCTTATATATTTGCAAATCTACCATAAAATCAATACCTATAAGTATTACATATGGATTATTTAAAAGAAAAACATGACACAATTATCTGGATATTTGTGGATTTCTGAAATTTGTATTCTCAGATACGCATAATTGAGGAAAAGATTGGTCTCCCGCTATAATTTAAAATAGCAACTTTGTACATAATTCCATGATTGATGAATTGTACATATACATTATCACTGTCCTTCAACTCTCTGTCCGCTCGATTGTGTAACTGGAGTTTTCGATTCTCTTGCTCGCAATTTCAACCAGAAGCCATTGTCCGGCATCATGACAGCTGATTTTGCCAACACCATAGGAATTCTGGTTTTAACGTCGGGTTCGAGATCGCAACGTGGAAGTAGATAGACCAGCATAACTTTTGCTTCCATTAATGCGAATCTATTACCAATGCACATTCTTGGTCCGATACCAAATGGGATAAAGACCAAATTATCCACATCACCTTTAAGGAATCTTTCTGGATCGAATTTTTCTGGCTGCGGATAATACTTTGGATCGCGATGCAGAGAGAAAATGGGGATCCCTATGTTGTCTCCAGGCTTTATCGTAATCGGTTCGCCATCTGAAGTCGCTGCTGGCAATTCGGTCTCCTTGACACATTTTCTGTCGAAGAAAGATACTGGCGGATATAATCTGAGAGCTTCGTTTACCACGGCGTCTAAGTACTTCATGTGATTGATGGCCTCATAGGTAGGTTTACCGTTGGTCTGTCTGAAAACATCATCAATTTCTTCTCTTAACTTGCTCTGAATATCGGGATTGACAGCGAGTACGTGCGTCATAAAACACATGGCTGTTGATGTAGTTTCGTATCCAGCGAGAAAGAAAACGAATGCCTGAGCGGTCATTTCGTCAATGTCGAACTCAAGTCCGCTATCTTTGTTTCTAGTCTCCATCATCAACTGAATCATGTCCGGACGAACAATTCCCTGCTCATCCCTGACCTTTACTGTGTTGAAAACGATATTTTTGAAAAATTTCTTTATCTTTGGGCCAAACATTTTGAGATTGAGGAGTTTTGCAAGTAGCGAGAAGTTTCTATGCATGAAGAACTTGAAGACCATCCACTTGTCAAAAGCCAGTGCTTTCTTGACAAGCAAGAAGAACTCGTTGTTCGGATGCTTAAAAGAATCCACGCTGATGCCGAAGGCACACGTGGCCACTGTGTCGGTGGCGTATCTGCTCAGTATGTCTTTCATATTATACGCACTCAGAGAAAAAATTTGTACCAGCAACTAGAATTTTTTTTGTTAAACCGACTAGAAATTTGTGGATAAATAGCGCCTCAACTATGTATAATATAGTTGTAATAACAACAATAAATAAATTATTTAAACTACAAGAAAGTAGTGGCATTAACGAAAAATATATTGTGTATGCAAAAGGTATGTTGTAGTAACATGAATAATTATTCATTGTAGTGATATCAACATAATTTTTAGAGTTGTCTAATAAAGAATAATTTCTTATTTGTTAAACTAAAAGATTTATAATTAATATACCTAGGCGACTAGCGCCTGAAAATATCTGTTTTGGTCCCGTAGGGGGTCTCCTTATATACAGGTCGGTGCGAAATTTTGAACTCGAGAGAATGTACGGGCGATGCGACGCCTAGCGGCGTCGATGCAATCTATTTATAATCCAAAATTGATTAATATATATGTGGGTGAACACACCCTGACTGGCGAACCTTAGAAGGATCGCTGAAAAAACCCTGCTGAGCGACCCTAGTTATAGGAATCGATGTTGAATTTTAAACACGCAAAAGTATATTGGCGATGCACCGCGTAGCGGGCGCGAGCCGAACTCTCTCGCCGCGCGAGTCCGCGCTGCCGCCCGCACCAGCTTCTGGAAGTATGCTACACAACAAAAAAATATTTGTCTAAACAATAAGTCAAGGAGTTGTCTAAACTTGAAAAATGTTATTGTCATATCTTGTTTTATGGAGTCTATATAACTATAATAATTATAGTTGAGGCGATATTTAACTTTCAACTAATAGTTGACAAATATTGTTTCTGTGACTATACTTTTATGGTATTCAGTACTATTTAGTTCCTATTACTTTGGAAAACTAGTTACAAGTAGTTAAACTGCAGAGTTGCCAAAAAAATAGTTGCCACAACTATTTAGATTTCTCTCAGTGCGTTTTGCCGGTTTTTCCGGATTGCGTTGACACAAAATCGACGAAGTTCTCGGCGCACTGACTTATAAGTTCGAACATCATCTTCATCTTGCTGGATGTGAAACTAGGACTAAGAAGCTTTCGCATCTCGCGCCAGTAATCCCCTTTCAGGTCAGACAGATTTTTACCGGCTATCGGATCAAGATTTTCGTTCACAAAGGTATTGCGATTACAAAAGTTGTCAAACTGTTTGATGGTAATCGTAGAAATCAGTTCTGGATCACGGATAACGAAGGTCGGTATTATAAAATGGTAGAGGCCGAAGTATTTTGCGTTCGAGAAGAGATTGTAGAATCTTTGTAGCAGCTCCATGTGGGATGTACGTTGAAAAAGAAAAAGTGCCATGTTGCCTAATATTGGAATTGGTTTTACATGCGGGATCTTCAGTCGCTCGAAGTAAGATAGCTTTCTTAGAACAAAATAATATAAGCAAATACTCGCTGTCAGAATAATCAGAAGCAAGGTAGATGACTCCATTGCGACAAAAATCTCCAGATTAGTTGCACAATAAAAAGACGTTTTTGATGATTAAGTTTTGGTTTTCGACAGTTTCCGTTTTGGATCGATGAAACGGTTTCCACACTTGATCGTTAATGTTGATGACACGAGAAGAAGAAGCGCAAGTTATATTATCGTACTAACTTTCTTAATTGTCGTTAGAACTTCTATCTAATTGGAAATGGTTAACTTGATAGATCTGGCGAAGAGATGCACGCACTACGCGTGAGATTTTATGACTGACTCTCACACATACGCCATGATAAATTATATAACATTGATAACACTCTAAGTGTGCAGATATGAAAGATATAATGTCACATTGACTATTTCCTTGAAATAAAACCGCACTTCTTCGCAAACGTATTTTTATCAATATAGCGAAGCTTGTACAATATGTCGCTTTTTTTAATAAACTGGGTTAAAGGCTTTTGACGTAGAACTACGTCTTTCTCCGCGTTGGGTAGGGGGTAATATCGGGTGCACGATGCAACGAAAACATATCACATTTTGAACGTTTATATCTTCGAAACTATTAATCGTATAATAATGATTAACATCTCATTTTAAAGCTTAAGAAGTCCCATTTATGATAAAATAAGTCCGAACCTTCCATTTTTTACCTTTTTGATACAGTACAAAGCTCCATGATTGCTCTAATTTTTGTTAGGCAACGAAAACATGTCACACTTTGAACGTTTATATTTTCGATCGAAACTAATAATTGTAGAGTAACAAATAAGGTGTCACTTGATAGCTTATATATAGTCCCATTTTCTCTCTAAAGTCTATAAAGTCTCCAAAAGGGATTACCGATTTCTATCTTAACAAATCTCCATAATTGCTCTAATTTTTGTTATATCTGAAACTAATAATCGTAGAGTAATAAATAAGGTGTCATTCGATAGCTTATACAGTTCCATTTTCTCTCTAAAGTTTCTAAAGTCTCCAAAAGAGGTTACCGATTTTTGTTATATCTCCAAAACTAATAATTATAATCGTAGAGTAATAAATAAGGTGCTATTCGATAGCTTATGCTTATAGAGTCCCATTTTCTCTCTAAAGTCTCTAGAGTCTCAAAAAGGGGTTACCGATTTCTATCTTAACAAACATGTCACACTTAGAACATTTATATCTTTGAAACTAATAATCGTAGAGTAATAATCTTTAAAGTCTCCAAAAGCCCCAACTGGTCGAACAAAAACGACTTCTGTTTTGAATTTATTTACTGGCGAAGGAAGCTACTTGTTTTGTTAATAAATTTATGCCTAAATAGAGTATAAGTTATACATGTATTCTTTTTTATACCGATTTTCTTGATATCACAATGTGTTCAGAATGTTCTAAAACGCTGAGATCCGACTCCAAAATTCTAATTTTTGGAGGATGGGCTTAATTTTTTTTTAAGATTTAGCTTTGTTTTCTGGAAAATTTTTAGTACTGGTTTCATGAAAATCGGTTCACAATGAAAAAACTACTAATTCATTTCTTAACCCTTCGTCCGCATACGTTTTTTTGGCACCTTTACGCCGCATAGGTGGGTCGTTTTCGTCTTGACGTTTTTTTTTAAGTGTTAAAGTGTTACAAAAAATCTGAAAAAATTCATGGAGGTAATTCAAACCTTCAATTTGAAGTGTCAATCATAAAATTATAAGCAATTTAATTTTTTCACATATTTTTTATTTAAGAAATGGAGCAACTACAACTACAACTTGTAAAATCATCTTTTACTCAAAAAATCATAACTTTAAGACAAATAAAGATATCGAAATGAATAAAAAAAGAAATTGAAGGGGAAAAACGTACCTTTCATTAAAAAAATATTGCATGCAATTATTTTGAAATGAAGTGCTTAAGTGTTCGCCGCCAACCTCGTTTTTTCAAGAATTACGTGTCTCCTGTGACGGCTGGAGGGGGTCTGGCGCCTTGAAACTCGGTAGGCGGGTTCTCGGGGAGCATAACTTTTTTTACGGATGCGCAGTGGCGCCATTTCTACGCGTTTGCAAAAGTTACAACTACATTTGATTTTCGCCCGGACGAAAACGACCCACCTATGCGGACGAAGGGTTAAGTATATTAAAATTTCAATAAATTGGAGACTTCATTAAAGTACCGGTATTGAATTTGGTGTCAATTGTTAAAGGAGTTATACCGATTTATGTCTAAAAAAAGTGAAGTTATACATGTAATCTTATAATATATAGAATATCATTAAAGGAATGTTGGCATTTACTTTGGCGAGAATCGGGGAAGGGGTTACCGATTTCTGCAAAATTTATACTTTTTTGCAACAAAAACATGCAACACTAATATTTCTCGAAAAGTATTAAAGGAATTTTGAAAGTTCTCGATGTAAGCTAAATGTTCTTGCAATTTATTTTGTTTATAACCGATTTTCTTGATATGACAATGTGTTCAGAATGCTCTAATGCGCGGAATATTTCTCGAAAAGTATTAAAGGAAAATATACTTTATTATAGTGTTTTTGAAAGCTCTCAATGTGAGTTAAATGCTCCTGCAATTTAACCGATTTTCTTAAGTATATTAAAATTTAAATAAATCGGAGATCTTATTTAACTATCTTCTTTTTGTTAGAAATGTCGGAACTACATAAAATTCATAGAATAATAGCATAAAATTCATAGAATTATATGCTAATAATTTGAGAAATTTTTTATAAAGAAAAATTTATGAGCTAAAAAAACGGGCACAGTAACAACTGTGCCGCAAGCAACAACGTAGAACTACGTCAACTGTCACTATTTCATGTTAAGGTATTCAGCGAAGGAAATTAGACGTAGGGCTACGTCAACTGTCTTTGGCTGAGTAATAGTGACAGTAGCCCTACGTCTACTTTTCTACGCTGAATACTTTAACATGAAATAGTGACAGTTGACGTAGTTCTTGCGGCACAGTTTTTATTTTAGCAATGTCATTGTTCAACAGTTTCTAATAAGACAATAGAGAGATATGATTCTTTTTCTAATAGCTTATAATTTTTATCGCGTATTTTTACTCGATTCAATATATTGAATATAGGATAAATGATAAAAGATCTATAAGTTTATTTTTATTTTTCTTATTTTTGTTCTTTATATCTTTTTTATAACTTTATGTTTTGTAGGTATATTTTTTAATTTATCGTGACTAATAAACAAAAAAGCAGTATAATTTAACAAGTACAAATAAGATTATTAGCAGTTGTTGTTATTTTTATTACAAATTATAAATTGATTTCTTTATTTTCAACCATATAATTTCTTATAATAATAATAATAACGTTCCTTAAAATTAATATATCAAATATATAGGTCTAAAAATATAGTCAAAATACAGCAATAATATAAGTCAATGTTTTTTTTTTATAATATGGCATTATTATATATAAACATATAGTCTTACTTTTATAGTTATACAATTCTATTTTTGTATCAGTTTTTATTGATAGCAATTGTGTCAAAATATATACTTAAAAAATATATTTTTTTTTCTCATAAATAGTTTAATTTACCATTATTGTCAACTTATTACAAATATGTAAATTAATATCTAAGAATACAAATAAAGTTGTTCAAATTGATCATGTATTTGTCACTTTAACAAATATGACTTAACTAATAGCGTTAATTTGTTGACTCGACCCGACTCGCATTATCGTGGCATATTATCATATTTCATTATTATTTTTCAGAACTTTTAATCTGACCCAAGTTGACCCGAATCGGGCCGAGTCAACAAATCGAAAACGTTATATATAAATGAAAAATAATCGTGCATCGGAGTTTAACGCTTTATCTTTTTTGTCAACCACTATTATGCAACAACATTCATTGAAGCTTTTTATTGGTGAATTTATTAGAAGAAGCTGAGAAGCATATGCTTTTTTATATTGAAAAACACATAGCGTTGTTAATAACATAATGACATTTCTCGAGATGTGTGAGAGCTCCGCTTTTCTCGCTGATAGCTATTCTAAAACGGTTAACTCTCTTTTCACATCTTTTTCGAGAATTAGTATTGCGAATATCATCAATCGATTTGTTCTTTTGGCCAGTTTTTATCGCGGTTTATCTTATTAATTTTATTATTGGCTTATCTTAAAGCTTAGCTTCTTATCGTGCATTGCACATTTTTGCAGAAAACTTTATAGAATTCTCCAATACTTGAACGATTAAGAAACATAATAAATAAATTTATTAACTATTTTGGTCATGTTTGCTTCCATAGGATAGAACTTGATAAATTGCAAATTGAACAGCAAATTAACAATTAAAAATATGATTTAATTTATCGTAATTTATCAGTATATGAGCAACAGCTAGGTCTAGTAAAATTCGTGTTAGAATGCGTATTTTGGACGATTGCATATAATCTCATTATTAAAATTTTTGGATTATGTTATTAATAATGTCATTTGTTATGTGTATTTTGAATAGCATTTTAAATTTGTATTGTATTATGTTATATTGTAAACAACATATATCTAATTTTATACTTTTATATTGTAATACATACTATTTGTTTGATGTATGAAACGTTAGAATTAAAGGTAGGATTAGAAAATGTATTGACACGAAAAAATTGTATGAATAGTAATGAAATAAAATTAAGAAAATAAGATACATATTGTATCGTATAATATTACATAATGGTACATAGTATTGCATAGTAATGCAGAATATTGCATAATAACTGTCATATTAAATTATCGCATGCTTGTATTATCAGTTATCACATACTATTCCTATTGCATGCTTTTCTATTATATCTCAAAATAAATTTCATGTGCAAAGTAATAAATAATAAAAACAATTAAAATATCTATGCAATGAAAAGAGGATCGCTGATAAATACTTTATTTGTACTTTAACGAGAGTGTAGTTGTTTACAAAAATTCATTTTATTTGGCCAGAAAAAAAGCAATTTTAATTAATTAATTTTATCACTATTTTTAATTAATCAATTTTATCGTTATTTTAATGATAATTTGTAACATTCTACTGTCCTAAAATATATTAATTTAATGATGTCATGTATATATTAATATACTTCTGTACATACAACATTATAATCATTTTAATCTTAATTTTCTCTTACATACATTCTCTTTTTTACTTTCACCTTCTTTTTCTTTTTTTTTTCTTCTCTTTTTCAATCGAGTATTACAATGTTTTATTATTTATTAATTTAAAAAATATATTTCAAGAAAAAGATAATTATTTAA